TTCCCAAGCCACACCACAGAGCAATGAGCACTGCTCTGGGTGCTGAGGACACTCCCCACCAGGCCTGGAAGCCCTGCCCGAGATCCCGTGAGCCTCCCCGCTGCCACAGCTGGGGGTTATTAGTGTATGGTTCCTGTCGCAAGGACTATCCTGGCCGTTCCCATGCTCATCAACGCCCTCTTCGTGCCCTGCCCTTGCTCTGGCCTGCGTCTGCCTTTGGGGAAATCAGGGCTCCTCATGCCGCCACATCAGGCTTTTCAGACAGCAATCTTCATCAAGATCATTTCTCTTTGTATCTTCAGAATTTCATTCCCAAGCACTCTCCAAAGTCCCCAAGGGCTGACTTCTGCTGATACTTTTAGTGTGGGGGGTCCCAGCTCTCTTTCCTCTGACCCTTCCCAATCCAATTCACTCTCCCCCAATCCAGGGCACATCCAGGCTAGCCCTGACTTTGCGAGAAGAGAAAAAAAAACACACACACACACTAAATGCTTCCTCCCAAGATTCCTATCGTAAGCTTCAGCAAACATTCTTCCTAGTTGCTGAGAATCTGATGCAGAAGGCAAGCCAAGAAGCTCAGAGCTGCTCCTTGTCCCCCATCTCACGTCTACCATGATCCTAAGCCCAGGGCGGCATCTGCTGCCCAAAGCCCTCCCCCTTCTCCTTCAGGACACTTCACTCGGGGACCTCCTCGACCCCCGTGGTTTCAACAATCCCCTTCAGGCTGATCACCCTCATATCTACCCCTCTACCTCTCCCCTGACCTCCAGTCTTGCATGTCCAACTAGTCAGTCATCTCAAACCGGATGTCCCGAAGACTTCTAAACTCACCAGGTCCAAAACACAACTCACTGACTTTCCCTCCAAACATACCCCATCTTCCAAACTTCCCTATCATCATGGAAGGCACCATCATCCCCAGTCCCCTAGGCTCAGGCTCCTCACTTTTACCCCCCAGGGGATAGGAGTACCCTCTATTGCCAAGGCCCATGGTTTCTACCTCCACAACATTTCTCCAATATGCCCCTTCTGTCGTCTGAGACTGCCCTGACCCTGGCGCAGGCCCCCATCACCTCACCCCTGGACTACTGCCCCAGCTGCTGGGGGGTCTGCCTGCCTCGAGTCTCCCCCCACTCCAGACCATCCTCCACTCAGCTGGCAAAGTGATCTTCTAAAGTGCAGTCCCACATCTCACCCCACCTCCAGTCTATAAGCTCCAAGGGATCCTGTCACCTCCAGCATCCAATATCAAATCCTCTGCTCTCCCTGACCCAGCTCCTCTCTACCTTTCCAGCCTTCTGGCACTCCCTCCCCTCCATGTACTTTGTATCCAGTGACACTGGACTCCTTGTGGTCCCTCCATCTCTTGACTCCAGGCATTTTCTCTGGCTGTTTCCATGCCAGGACACTCTCCCTCCTCACGTCTGCCTCCCAGCTCCCCTCAAGCCCCAGCGAACAACCCGCCTTAAAGCCAGTGCCTTCCTTCTAGTCACTGTCTCCAATTCAGCCTAGCCATAGCTTGTTTGTACTTTGTTGTTTGCCTGTTGTCTTCCGTATTAGACTGTGAGCCCCTCAAAAGACAGAGAGTGTCTTCCGCCTTTCTTTGTATCCCCAGGGCTTAGTACAGTGCCTGGCATACAGCTGGCATTTAGCCAGTGTTTACCGACTGACTCCTCATCTATTTCCTCCTTCTGTCTCAGTGGTATCTAGTCTGCTCTGAGGACAATTTGCTTCTGTCTCTACTAACTGCCCTCCACTGTGCTTTCTTCCTCTGGTTCCTGGTCCTCCTCACATAAGTATGCACTTCTTCTTACTAGACAGTGCTCCTTTGTCCTCACCGCACACACATTTTAAAGCCCGTCCTGTTTCCTGCGCATAAAGTGCATGCTCCCAGTTAATGGCTCTCATCCCACCAAGTCTCGGTGGCCATGGGGAGATCAAATGTGCCTCCTGGCCTCAGCTTTCCTGTTTGTCCTCCTTTGTGCCTCTGCACAGACACCTGAGGCCGCTGACTTCTCCTTTCTTAAATTTCTGGGTTTCTCCACTGCTGTTATTCACCTTCCTGCACTCTCACTGCTCTCTGCGGTATGTCTGGGACAGGGCAGTTTTCTCCTTTCCCCACCTTTTTCCAGTGGAAGTCTTTTTATTAGATTTACAAATTCCATCTTCTCAGTCCTTTTTAGCTATACTCCATTCCTGGTCAGGAGTCTGTCATTCCCATATTTAAGCTGTGGCCCACAGATCCGCTGTTCACCTCCCTATTCTGCCTTTCTCTTTGGAATTGCCTTAATCTCTCCTCCCTTTCTCAGCCAAGCTCTTAGAAAAAGCTGCCCACACTCTTGGCTTCCAATTCCTCATCTCTTACACATGCTTAACCCTCTGTGGTCTGGCCTCTAACCTCAGCACTTGGCAGAAATCGCTCTCTCCAAAGTTACCAATGATCTCCTAGTTGCCAAATCCAGTGACCGTTTCTCCCTCCTCATCCTTCCGGCCCCTTCTCTTCTGAACTCCCTGCCTTCCGCCCAGTCTCCCAGGTTCGCAGCTTTGGGCCTGCCTCAACTCTTCACTCAACATACTCTCCAGATCTAATCAGCTGCCAAGGCTTATGGCGTCTGCTTTCTCAGTATCTCTGTGCCCCTCTCTCTCCACACACACACAGACACACAGACACACACATACACACACGTAACATCCACACATGAACACGCACATCCACAGTCACACACACATACACGCACACACGCACACTTAGACATACACACATATGCACAGGCAACATCCACAAACATGCACAGTGCATCCACATCCACACACCACGCACACACACGCATACACATATACACATATGCACACACACGCACACATACACACATATACACACATACACATATATGCACCCACACACACACACACACACATACACACACCCCTCACCTGAACTACTGCACTGACCTCCTAACTGGGTTCCCTGCCTCCAGGCTCTCCCCACTCTTCCCGCTCCAGCCCATCCTTGTCACGGCTGTCAAAGTTCTCTTCCCAAAGTACAGATCTGACCACGTCACTCTCCTGATCCTCCAGACTGACACTCCAGAAGCTGCCTATTAGACACACTCCTCTATTTGGCAAATAACGGTCTTCAGAGCCTGGCTCCAATCTGCCTGTCTAGGCCCCTTCATATAACTCTGTGGTGCCCCCACAGCATCTAGGTGGTGCAGTGGGTAGAACACTGGCCCTGGAGTCAGAAAAACCTGAGTTCAAATCTAGCCTCAGACACTTACTAGCCATTAAGTCACTAACTAGTGACCCTGGGCAATTCACTTAACCTCAGTTGTAAAGTGGGGATAATAACAGCATTTTGTCACAGGGTTGTTGTGAGGACCAAGTGAGATAATCCTTGTGAAGCACTTGGCACAGTGCTTGGCACGGCAGGTCCTTAATGAATACTCGTTGGTTGCTCGAGTAATAGAAGCGCCAGCTCTGCCCCTAGGGCTCTCCCTTTCCACCAGGACCGTGAGCAAAGCCTCTCGGCCTCTTCTGCCAGCATTCCCTTTGTCCATGAGTCACTGCTGTGGGTGGCAGGTACCTCCGCAAGTGTCCAAGGTAGGACGGGCCTGGCAAATGCCAGACAGCAGCCGCATCTCAGGGGCCCTGCTGCTGAGGGGGCTGCTTGCGGACCCTAGGCAGGCTCGGGCTGATTAGAACAAGGTCTAGGAAGCCAGGATGAAGATAAGGAGGAGGAAGGGCTGGCAGCTACAGGAAGGAGCAGCCCCACCTTGGGAAGTGGACGGAGGCACCCAAGTAGACTCCCACGATCACGTTTCCTAGAGAAACTTAACAGATGCAGAGCAGAGACAATGTCCGGGAGGCCCAGAGACACAAGACTGCAGACAGCATCGGCCCCTGAGTGTGTGAGCAGGGAGGAGGGCACACGGAGGCGGGGCTCTGTGCTGGGTAGAGAGCCAGCCAGACTCGGCCTCCGCATGCCCCTGGGCAAGTCTCTAAGATGATAAAAGGCAGAGAAGCCGTCATCCCTCTCTATCCTGGCACCTTTCCCATCAGAACACAAGGCAGCGACAAGTAGAGGCAGAGGCAACAGGCCTGCAGGGAACCAGGCATGGGAACTAAGCCTGGGTAGGCTGAGGGCATTGGTGAAGGAGCTGGAAGGACCACATGAAAGGCATGAAGGGGAACAGAATCGCTGGCGTTTTTACCGTGACCTCTTCTCACTGCAGCCCCAGGAACAACCACCTGGGGCTCTCTTACCACCCACCAAGGCTCCAGGCTCCCTGTGCCAGCTCAGGGCCTGCCTGCAGAGGGCTTACATTCTGCAACAGATGGTTTATGCCAGGTAACCCTAGAAAGCAAGACTCCAGCAGCCAGTGCCAAGAAGGACCTCAGGGGGAAGGTGGCCCTTGAGCAGAGCCCGACAGGAAGATGGGGATTCCACACCAGGCGGATCTGAGTTCGGATCCTACCTCAGACACTTACGAGCTGTGGGACCCTGAGCATTTAGCCTCTCCCAGACTCAGTTACCTCATCTGTAAAATGGGATAGCACCTGCTTTCCAGGATTTTTGTGAGGATCAAAGGAAATGACACACTTTGCACACCTTAGAGCACTCTATAAATTTGAGGCAATAGCGACAATACCCCATCTCTGTAGCACTTTAGAAATCTTAAACTGCTATCCTGGCGTGCCCCAGAAGGTGGGCTTTCATCCCTGAAGCCCCAGCGATGCCGGCAGATTCCCCCCTCTCCTACCACGTTCTGGGGAATGGTATGTCCACCCTTTGGGCTGCCACCACATTTGGCCCCTGACCCAGCACAACTAGGGGGATGGTCAGGAAAGCTTAGGGGGCACCCTCGGGGCCAGGAGTCATTTCCCAGTGGGCAAAGACTCTTGGGAACCCCTTCATCGGGTGGCCCCTGGGGCAGACGGACAGTGGGAGGAGGGTGGTGCCACAGTGGGCGGCGGTCAAGGGCCCGGAGTGCCAGGCTCACCACTTTCTCCTTGTAGACAATGTACTTGAGCCATTTGAAGTCTTGCCACTTGAAGCCAGCCAGGACAAAGAGTGAGTCCTTCTCATACTCCTCCGGCCGCTGCATGGCACCCTCAGGGTAAGTGATGCGCAGGGTGGTCTTGCCCCCAACATCCTTCTCAAAACCCTTCACCGGAGCTGAGTTCAGCCTAGTGAAGTATGGTCAGTGTTGGTCCCGAAGCAGTCCTGCCAGATTCCTCCTCTTCCCACCCCCGGCTCCCAGCCTCAGTTTCCCTATCCACAGCAGCTATAGAGGAAGCAGCCTACGGTCCTTGTCCTGCAAGGAGGATAGAACCACAGGAACCAGCAGCCAGTCCTCATCGGCAGGTAAGGGCCTTGGAACACTTTTGAGGCCCGACTACCCTGCCCCCTCTCTTTGCAGCAGGGCCCCACCCTGCCCAGAGCTCACCTGACCACAATGTCATAGTCATCGATCCGAGCTCCCAAGGACTTGTTGGCAAGGACACCTCCGTTCCCTATGATAATGCAGCGGCGGCAGCTGAGGCTGTGGGGGGAAGAGCCAAGGCCCCAGGCCATGATGCTCGGCCACCCCAGCTCCCCCGAGCCCTTAGACTACCCGTCTGCCAAGCCTGATGCCAATGCTGATGCTCCTGGAGCTTCAGACATTGTCCGCCGGAGAGCAGAAAGGGGAGTGGGCATGGGGGGAGGTGTGGCCCAGCACACTCCTAGAACCTTGTTGCTCTCAGGCCAGGAGGCGAAGTCTCTGGGCTGTTCTCTGTGGGTCCTATTCTGTGTGCATCAGTTGTCTGTCCCATTGTGCCGGTGAGGGCCTCAAAATGGTGGCATGGGAGCAGAGAGGAAAAAGGTGGGGAGAGAAGTAAGTAGAAGGAAAAGAAAGAAAGGAGGACAGAGCAGAGTGGCAGGGAGAGGAATGTGGCTGCGCAAGGAACTCTCTGCCCAGTGGAGACTTTAGAAGGCGTGTGCAGGGGCAGTCCATGGAGGATGAAGGCAGAAGCCTGGGCGGTTCATAGAAGCAGAGCTTCCTCAGGTCTACGAGCGCTGCTCTAATGTGGAATGGGTGGCCTCTGAAAGGAGGGAGGGAGGGAGGGCCTTCCCACTGACGGTCTTTGTCAGGGATGGAGGGGAGGGCCTCCTTGTTCAGGTCTGGGTTGGACACGGGGCTTCTGAATGCTAAGAGTCTGTGACTCTGCAGAAAAGAGGGGAGGGCCAAGGAGGCCTGAAGAAGGTGGGGGAGGCTGGGCAGGGACCCAGGCTCCAGGGTCCTAAGGGGGCCCATGGGCTCAGTTGCGGCCTTACCTGTCCAGGGCAGGTGTCAGGCGGTACTCTTTGGTGGCTGACAGGATGGCTTTGATCAGGTTATCTGTGGGACAGAGAAGGCTGCTTTAGAAGGGTATCTGACTCTGGAAATCCTCCTCTGCAAAGACCACTTGGAAGCTTCACTAATGTAACCATAATTTGAGCTGTGATCGCTAGGGAGCTGGGACCTGAGGTCTGAGGCTAGGGGCCTGGACACCTGTGCTCTCTCTGGTGGGAGAAGGTGCTCAGTATTCTAATATCTCTCTAAATGTCCAGCTGGGCTTCTGCGAGGATCATCCCCAGAGGAGTGGCTACCTGCCCCAGTGAAGGACCCATCTGCATAGCTCCCCCCACCCCCGGGGTGGCTGCCCCAGCGGTCAGCACAGCCTGCTGGGCTCTACTTCATCAGTCTTGGCCTTGGCAGCTAGGCTGTGGGCTTCCTCTCAGCTCCTTCCTCCCTTCCCAATGCCATTCTGCCCCTGCAGCTCCCCCTCATCATGGCCTTCCCCAGACCCTTCTCTGGTGCAGCTCTGGGGATGCCAGGGAGCCAAGCTGAAGGCCGGGTTGGAGCCTGGGCCAACCAGAGCCAAGGCAGAAGGGCAGAAGGTGGGCAGGCTGCCTCACTCCCACAGGCCATTTCTAGAACCCAGGCTCTTCCTTCTGCATGTGGGCAGGATGGTGCAGAGCTGCTCCCTTTCCCAGAAAGTCATCATCGTGCCCCGGAAGACAGGTCGCCTCCCCTCTGGGCTCAGGGGGACACAATGAACAGTCTGCACGCTATGCTCGCACGTGAAAGGATGTGTGCATGTGTGTGCATGCGCACGTGCCTGTGCACATGAGGGACCTCCTGGGCTTCTGCAGGTGTCCATGTGGGCCTGAATTTTAAAAGTGTGCTTGGACTTGGGGACATTTACGCACACACATGAGAAAACATGCAACCATGTCATCCCAGCCCCTTTTTTTATGGGGGGAAAAATGTGAGGGTCCAGTGACATTCCCAGGGAGGGAAAGAGACTTGGCCACAGTCTCCCAGCCAGACCTCAAATGCTCTGCCTCCTCATGTCTACTCCAAAGGTCCCTGTTTCTAGGCCTCCCCTGCCCAGCCTCCATACACACTTAGGAGACACACATATTTGTCTGCCTGTGGTTCAGAATATAAGCTCCTGGCGGGGGGGCAGGAGCAGTTGCATTTCTACCTTTGTCTCCCAAGTGGCAGGCACAAAATGGGGACATTAACAAACATTTGTCAAGTGCCTGATGTCCAGATCCGGCCTCTCGTCCCCAGCCTGGTTCCCTTCTACAGGGTCCGGCTCTTAGGGCCCAGGGAAGCCAAGCACTCAAGCTGAGCATCTTGCTGCCTGGGTCATGCTGACCCTCTCAGATGTCAGGGCCCAGGCCCCCCCCAGCCTACCTTGTCCTTTAATTCCAAACGGTGGCACAAAGTCTCGGATGCGGGCCCACTTGCGGAAGGAGTCATCCAAGAACATGGGGGCAGGCCTGGAGAATCTGGGGAAACAGCCCATCAAGCCTGGTTACTCCTCTGGGACAGACTCTGGCCCTCTCCTCTCAGGTGGGGAGCAGGGGGGAGCCTGCTTCTCTTGGACATGGCTAGCAGACAAGTAGATCGAAACTTGACTGGCCTCAAGAGTTGGCGAGCAAAAGTGCTTGGGAAGAAGAAACGCACCTGACCAGAGCAGACAGGCAGCCTGATGCCCTTGGGGAATGGAGAGTTGGTCCAGATGGGGAAACTGAGGAAGATGGGGAGGAGGGATGGTTGAGCAAGCACTCTCACCCAGGTCTGGGACACGTCATCTAGGAACATCATCTGTGGTGTGCTGAGTCATTCTAGCTCAGGGCCTGGCCCCACCCTGCCCACGGTCACCCTGCCTGGCACGGAACAGGGCAGCCAGTGCTGGCCCCCGGCCCCTTCTGCTCCCTTACTGCTTCCACTGGTTGGTCCTTTTTGTTTTGTTTTGGTTTGGGGTTTTTTGCATTTTGTTTTTTCCCAGTACCTAGTATAATTTTTATTTATTTATTTAGTTAGTTTTCAACATCCACTTTCATAAGATTTTGAGTTCCAAATTTTTTTTCTCCCTCCCTCCCCCCCCCACCCGCCCAAGACGGTGAGCAATCTGATACAGACTAAACATGTACGATCATATTAAACATTTCCATGTTAGTCATGTTGTGAAAGAAGAATTAGAACCAAAAAAAAGAAGAATCAGAACAAAAGGGAAAAACCACAAGAAAGAAAAAAAAAAGAACAAATAGCATGCTTCCATCTGTATTCAGACTCCATAGTTCTTTCTCTGGATGTGGACAGCATTTTCTATCATGAGACTTTTGGAGATGTCTTAGATCCTTGCATTGCTGAGAAGGGCTAAGTCTATCAAAGTCAGTCATCGCACAACGTGGCTGTTACCATGTACAACGTTCTCCTGGTTCTGCTCACTTCACTCAGCATCAGTCCATACAAGTCTTTCCAGGTTTTTCTGGAGTCTGCCTGCTCATCATTTCTTGTAACAAAACAATATTCCATTACATTCATATACCATAGCTTGTTCGGCCATTCCTCAGCTGATGGGCATCCCCTCAGTTTCCAGTTCTTGGCCACCACCAAAGGTGCTGCTAAAACATTCTTGTACATGTGAGTCCTTTTCCCTTTTTTATGACCTCTCTGGGTGGTTGGTCCTTCTTAATAGTCATCGTCCCCAGGCAGAAGCAAAGGGCCTTGAGTGCAATCCCAGGAGCAGTCTGAGAATCCCAGTGCAAGCAGACACCTCAGAAGTACCCCTCCAGCGATGGGGAGCTCACCACAGCTTGAGGCAGCAATAACAACAGTGCCCTTAAACTTCCCTCAAGTTTGCAAAGCACTTTATACGTCCGGTCACATCAGAGTCTCCCAAAGTGAGGAGGGGCATGTGGGTACTATTAGCCCCATTTTACTGATGAAGTCACTGAGGCACAAGGAAGTGTCAGAGGCAGGACTTGAACCCAGGTCTTCTTATGTGAGCATTCTGTTACTCCATACTGCCTCTGAGATCTAATGGAAATGTCTCTGTTTAATTTTGAAAGCCCTTTAAACCCTGGCTCCAGCGCAAGCTTTGCAGCCCCTCACTAGACACTATGCCCTGCCACCTCTTGCACTCTGCCAAATTGGCCTTTTTCTCTGTTCCTCATTTATGACATTTCATCTCCCACCTCCATGCCTTTGCATGGGCTGTTCCCCATACCTGGAATGCCTTCCCTTCTTATCTGCTCCTCAGAGTCCCTCTCTATGTTCCTGATGTAGCTCAGGTACCACTTCCTGCAGAATGTTTTCCCTAATTCCCCCCATTCCCAGCTTCTCGTATCGCCGTCCCTACCACACTACACCTCGTAGTGAACAGCTTTGTACCTATTTGTCTTCATTCTCAGTACATATGTTGCATATGCTTATACAAGGTGTCCTTGTTGGCCCCCCATATGATTAGGGATTATTTTATTCTTTGTCCTTGTATCTACAGTGCCTGGCATACAGCAGGTGCTTAAAAAATGCCTGTTGATGACCTGTGGCAAAGCAACAGTGAACCTTAGAGGTTATGCTCCCTGCCAGGCTGGCAGCCCCAAGCTGTACCAGCTGATAATATAAATGGGCCACCCTCCAGGGCTCTGCTGTCCTGATGTGTGACATGGCCCAGCTCTACCTAGCAGGCCACAGACCATCAACTAGCCAGTCATCCCCCTTGCTCCCTGCGTGAAGGCAAATTTAGATTCGACATCAGAAAAAACTTACTGAAAGAAAAAAAAAGAAAAAACTTGCTAAGGAAGCTGTTTCTAAGTGCTTAATAAATATTTTTTATTGAACTAATTTGTGCTTCTAGGCATTATCACCTCATAGAGCAAAAAGAAACAGTGGGAGGTAAAGAACGAGTTCAAAGAAATCTTGGTCAAAGATTCAACTAAGCAAAATCATCCCAAAGATGTTTAAGAATAAATAAGAATAAAAAAACAAAAATAGAAGAAAAGTGGAAGAGATCTGCAAAGCTGATTATCATCAATTGTTTTCACCACAAAGGTCAACGGAACCACCTGCCCCACCTGGCCTCTGACCCCACAGCTCTGGACATGCTTACAGGGGACACAGAAATAGCTCTAAAGAGAACAAAGATGGGAATGGACTAAGGGAACAATACAGAGGAGATCTACACTGGCGACAACACAACTGTGAATGCATCAAAGAACCAACACACAAGGTATCTGAAGAAGAGGAAGACGCCCAAGACACTTTCACCAGTGATATTCGACAACGGACCACATCTTTAAAAAGGCGGAGAGAATGCAAGATCTCTCAATCAACACGCAACGGTCTACCACATGCCATTCCTTCTGCTAAGTGCTGGTGATGCAAAGCAAAGCAAAAAAAAAAAAAAAAAAAAGCCCCTGACCTCAAGAAGCTCACGCAAAGTCTCATGGGAGAGAAAACGTGCAAATAACTACACATACAAGATACACAGGTGGCATTTATATGGCTAGCTATTGCTTTAAGGGTTGCAAAGTACATTACAAATTTTATTTCACTTTATCCTCATGAAAATGAGAAAGGTGCTCTTATTATTTCCATTTTACAGATAAAGAAACTAAGGCAGAGGGTGGTTAAGTGACCTGCGCAGGGTGACACAGCTTGTAAGTATCTGACTCCAGATGACCGTGCCTCCTGGCTGGCCCAAGACATAATCAGGGTAGGTAGATGGCAACCTTGCAAGGGAAGGCCCTGACAGCTGCTGGAGCCCACAGCTTTGGACTCAGTCTTTAGCTCACTGTCTGATGATCGCAAAAAAGCACTTGATTCAGCAGAACAGTGTCTCGCCGGCTCTTTCCCCACAAAGACGTGTGTCTCTCATCCACGTCCATCAAAACCTTCTGACATCCTTGGATGTACCCACAGCAATGACCCTGAAGGCACACTCGAGGCCTGGGCTGGGCAGCCAATGGAGGCCCCCAGCAAGACCAGAAGGGATCAGACCCAGAAGATGGTCACCCAGCTTCCTCTCGCACACGCCTTCCCTGGTCTTTCATTCCTGATCCAACTGCCCAGCTGCCTGAATGATGTTTTGCTCTCCAGCAGGGGGGGAGGGCCTCTTTGTGGGCTGGACCAGAAGCTCAGGGGGGCCAGGAATGGATTCAGATCCAGACTTGATGTCTCCCAGTGCCCAAGGCCAGGGCTCCGCACACAGTAGGCACTTAATCAGTGGTGAGTTTTCATTTGAACAAAGGGCCCTTTGGACCCACGATAGTCCTCCTGCCTAGGAAGCGTGAGGGAGTGGGGGAAGGAGGGTGGCAGGGCAGCCCCCCAGAGTCACAGAATCTCAGGGACAGAAAAGACCAGCTGCAGAGGGCACCAAGCCCAGCCCGCACCTGAGCAGGCACATCCTGTGCAGCATCCTCAGCAAGTGCTCGCCTGGCCTCACCTTGGAGGCCTCCAGCGACTGGGAGCCCACTCCTTTCCAAGGCAGTCCACTTCATTTAGGAACCTCAGTCTGCCGCCATGCCTTCCCTTCCTGTGTTGTCATTAGAGGTCTGGGATACAAGGCTCTTCCTCACCACTTTCCCATTACTGAAGACCACAGGTGCCAAACCAGTCCCTGGGGCTACACACTGACCTAGAAAACCACCAAGTAACACTATCTATGCTGTATTTTGTATTTATCTTGTTAAAACATTTCCCAGATACGTTTTAATCTGGTTCCTTTTTGTCGGGCTGTTCCCCAAAGTCCGGAGTTTACGTCACCCAGGCTCACATCCTGAGCATCAAGCCTCAGCTCCTTCTTCTCTGCCAACCCACAAAACCAATCTGCAGTGAGGGCTCGCTCCTGCCTTTACAACACAGCCCCCGCCCTCAGTTCTCCATTGTGACCCATGAGTCTCCTCGCCTCAGAAGATCGCTCTGCCCAGACCCCTTGCTCTCATCGGCCAATTCTTCCTGAGATCTCCGTTTGAAGGAAAGGGCTCAGGCCAGCTATGGTCGCTCCATTTCTGGGCTCCACCCTAATTTGTTTAGAGTTCTTCGGGGCAGGGACTGTCTTTTTCACTTGTATTTACATTCCCAACACTTAGCAGAGTGCCTGGCACAGAGCAAGTGTTTATGTGTGTTGCATTAAGCATTAACCAATAGGTGCTTTTAGGTGGTGCACTGGATACAGCCCTGAGCCTGGAGTCCGAAGACCTAAGTTCAAATCTGGCCTCAGACACTTACTAGCTGTGTGACCCTGGGCAAGTCACTTAACCTGCTTGCCTCAGTTTCCTCCTTTGTAAAATGAGCCGGAGAAGGAAATGGCAAACTGCTCCTGCCAAGAAAACCCCAAACAGCGTCGCAAAGAGTGGGATATGATGAAACAGCTGAACACGACAATAAATGCTTGTTGACCATGTCTCTCCCTCACACAATTGCCACTCTGGCTCAGGTCCTCATCACCTCTCACTGAGACTACTGGCGTCATCTCCAGGCTCCCTTCACACAGAGCCACGCCCTTTATTCTAGCAC